AATTTTTTACTTTGTGACGTTCACCCTTTTTATATGCTGGTGCTATATTTGCTTGTTTCCAGTCTTTTGGTGTTTGGCCAGTTTCTAATGATTTGGTGAAAATACTTGTCAAGATTGGTGCTATCTGTGTTCTAAGTTCTTTTAAAACTACCCTAGTGTTATCTGGTCCACTGACTTCGTGCGGATTTAAGTTTTGTAGTAATTTATCTACACCCGCTATTCTCGAATCAAATTTCTGTAATTTTACTGTGTGGACTTGGACCTTTATCTAGAATATTACTTGGTGTGCATGGTTTGTTTGTAAACACTTACTGAAATTGTTGGTTTAAAAGTCAGCTTTTTCAAAAGTGTCTGTTACGAGTATGCCTTCTTTTCAGAATCCTTAATTATCATTTCTAGTGCTTTTGATGTACTAGAATACATTCTTTGGTTTTGTGTTTGAGAACTGGCGTTGGTCTGGTTCGTTGATTGATAGATCATATATAATTTGTTCAATATAGTTCCAATATGATCTCCTTTGTTCTTTTTGTACTGCTTGTTTTAGTTTCTTGTATTTTAACGAATTGTGGTTTCTACTTTATAGCATTCATTTGTCTTATTTATGAGTTTCCTGAGTTCGTTGTTTACCCATGGAAGGCTGTGTTTGTAAGTAAACATTTAAAAATCAACTTTACCTCTATAACACTCTGTGCTGATGGTGTTGCATTTTCTTATAAGATCATTTTTTTTATATTATCCCAGTTTGCTTTTTTTATATTTGTGTTTTTTTGTAGGTTTTTCACTAATTCTTTTTAACCAGGTGTCCATTTCTACATAAACGATGTCGTGGTCTGCTTAGCAAAAATGTGGAAGTGTAGTGAGTTTGTAAATACATGTTGAGGTAGTGACTAAGATTAGATCTAGTATTTTATCATTACGTGTTGGTTGTCTTTGGGTTGATGCAAGTTGTGATTAGAAATGATATCTAGTAAAAGCTAGTGTTGTTTAGCATCTAGTTTGGTTTAAATAAATGCTGAAATTGACCAATTTATATGTCAAAGATAATTTAAATTCAAGCTATGAACAGATGATTATTTTCTGTACGCCTGCGGTTTTTTTAACAACAACACATGCATATAGCGATGAAATAATTTTAGTGTAAATTTTAATTGTATAGTGGTAACGCGTTTAAAATATCTTTACAACATATATTATTACGGAGTTCCGTTGGTCTCATACAGATGGAGAGTTATGGTTTTTAAAGTCAAGCGCGTGGGGTGTAAAGGTTAAAGTGGTAAAGTCTAACGCTGGAAATGCAAAGTCAAGCGTTGAAGATGTCAAGTCAAGCTCTGTCGATGTATCGCAACCGTGCATGTGTTAGCTTTTGAAGGCATTGTTTAATGGACGAAATCAGTACATTCATAACTGCAAGTCTCGAAGAAAACAATGGGTGTTCATAGAAAATATAAACATTTTATGTTTATAATTCTAATTTTTCTAAAGCATTTTTAAAGATATAGCCTAAAACATTATTTTCTTACTAAACAGGTGCCTGGATCGACTAGCTCTTACGCAAAAGTGGTTAAACCTGTTTTCCCTCAGATTTTTGCTAAGGCCAGGAAAACTTAAAAAAAAATTCTCATGTACATCTGGTTTCTGTTGACTACGCAACTGTCATAATTTGTAATTAAATTTACCACAAGATCAAATATTTACCTTCAATCATTGCCATGTATTGCATATTCATAGGTAAAATTATCGACTTTTTATAAACCAGATGCTGGAATATTTGCGGAAGGCTATTTGGCTACGTTTCTTATCTAACAGGTTTAGGTGCTAAACGTCTTTCGCTACAAGTAATCAATACATTGATAGCATAGTCTGACGATGTTTGATCACTGTGACTGCTTCGCTTGCAGCGGCAAATATTGCAAGCATATTCAGATCAATAACATGCTAATGTTTATATACCACACTTTGTACTAGACCGACGAACTGAGTCCGATATTTGTAACTTGCTAGCTCCCAAGGCAAATAGTCCGTAAATGAGAAGGCATCACATCCGGACATATAACTCCGAGCCGATAAGTCTTTAGTCATAATCCTTAATGTCGCGTACATTTACACATTTACATGGAAATAAACTCATTATAGATACCAGGATTGAAATTTTGTACGCCAGACGCGCGTTTCATCTACATAAGACTCATCAGTGACGCCCGAATCAAAAAAGTTTAAAAGGTCAACTAAAGTACGAAGTTGAAGAGCATTGAGGACAAAAAACTCATAAAAGTTTTGCCAAATACAGCTAAGGTACTATTCCTGGGGTAGAAAATCCTTAGCATTTCGAAAAATTCAATGTTTTGTAAACAGTTAATTTATGATTATGACCAGAGAAGCTTAAAATACCAATGTTAAAGTTTGTTGTTTAATCCTGCCGTGAATGAAACCCACAATTCCCGCACTCGAGCTAGGCAACACGATTCCATGAGATCACCGTGGCGGCTTAGACCGAATACGAAAATAAAGCGTAGTTTTGAAATTACTTTAAAGTGGCTTCTTCTGACTGGAAAACAATTGAACAAATCTCTTAGATGTGTACTGATTGATGTTGTAGTCATGATTTTAAAAATTATTAGTTTTAACTAGCTTTCAGTAACTGCGAGTTCTCTTAGATCTGCTTCGTGTCAAGCTATGAAGTCAAGCATTTTACAAATGATTTTACAAATCACAAACATATTTAACCCGACAACATCCTTCATTTGCCTGTCCAAAGTCAGGAAACTTTAATTTAGTGGTTGTCGTTGTTTGTTGTCTGTCATATTTGAATTTTCATTATTTGTTTTAGCCTAACTCAGATTGTTGGTTTTCACCTTTGAATGGTTTCCCATTTTATCATACATAGGACTTTTACAGCCTAATTTACGGTATGGGCTTTGTTCATTGTTGAAGGCCATACGATGATTCATACCAGTTACATCTACGTCCATTTGTTTATGGTGGATTGATGTCTCATTTGCAATCATATAATATCTACTTACTTTTATATCTTATTGTGAAAGAGGTAAAAAAGTGGAAGCTTAAATTTTTTCACCATTATTTTATGTTACTCAGTGCTTAATTTTCTTTCATTCGGATGTCAAAACTAATATTGCTTGCACAATGAAAATTGTAATCTCTTTCAATTATCTCAAATTTCTTTTCATTAAAAATTTTTTGAATTTCAGGATACAAAAAACAAACATTTGTGTTTTCCTCATAATTTACTGTTAGGTTTAACGTCCAGTGCCAAATTGCATGCACATTTCAGAACGAGAACATGCTTATGTGATATAAATATATACCATGCTTTGTACTAGAACCATAAGATGGTCCAAGATGAGTCGCGGATTTATTTTTAACATCATAGTTCACTGGATCCATAGGAAGACATATCACCCTACCTGGACACCTTATTCTGACTCCGTCTGTTCCCTTACTCCTAATGTCGCTTGCCGGGCGGAGAAGCAGCCATTTACTAATTTTCAAGTCTTTGGTTTGATTAGGCCGGGGTCGAACCTACGACCTCCCTCACCCGAGACTTAAGCACTGCCACGAGAACACCGAGACGCTATCCTTTTCAGACGTTTGCAAATTTGTCAGTTGTAATAGTAAACTACTTTTTCCAGCGTTTTGAATATAATTTGGACGAGCACGGCGCGTCATATAAAACCACAAAAACGAATGGATTGTTTGCCTTTATAGACCGAAACATTAAGTTAACACTTTGCAATGATTAATAAAAAACAAAGTTGTTATATTTTACCTACTGAACTAGGAAACGACGAATTTTAAACGAATCATTAAAAGAATTTTATTGTTTAAAATATATCTAGATTAATGAAAAAGACGTACGCGTATTGCTTATTGATTTGAAGGTTAATGTAACTTCATTGGTCAAGGATGGGGTAGGGCATGAACATTTAATTGAGTAAATCACAAACTGAAAATGTGTTTATCATAAAAAAAAGTAGACATTTTAATATTTGAATTTCTGATTTGTTTTTACTGTATGTTAGTAGAGTAACATCGATACTGGACGAATAACACCATTAGGAACTAGAAAAAAACCCAACTCCATCGCTATTTCTGTGGTCGGCGTCGGAGATATGTGTATCGGTTTGTTGCGTAATTTTATGAGAACTCAATTGTAATCCCTCACCATGGTATAATTATAAAATCAATTAAGAATGTCGATCAATATCGGTATTTGTGACGATACGATAAATATGTAACACGCATAACATGTTAATATATAGATCTGTGGTCTTCCCAGCTATTGGTTAAAGTAGCGTGGTGAAAGTAAATGCAGACATGAGCAATGATGTTTTGAAACCAGTATGTTGGTTTTTTTATCCACATAGCATCGGTTAAAACAAAAGACAAACACTATAATTTAAAGCTACCAAATGTTTTACATATATGACTCCCAATTTTGCCAATTCTAGAAATATGTGTTATCTGCATGCATCACTGAAACTTTAGGTAGTTTTAACAAGCATAATGAATATAAAAGGACCAAAATCATTTTTTACCATCTCTAATAAACATGCTCCTCCGATTGTACACATCACCAAAATGAGAATAATCACCGAATTGGTACTAACCATGAGAAACATGACAGCTGTCATTAGTGGAGAAGGATCTGCTTACTCTTTTGGAACAGCTGGGATCACCTCCAAGTTTTTGTCGGGGTTCGCGTTGTGCACTCTCTAGTTTTCTATATATTTTTTATAACTTTTTTTTGTCTTATTGTTGTGTTTCGCTTCCTCTCCGACTTTTTAATGTCCCCTTGGTATCATCCTCCTTTTTTGTTGATCGAATTGACCAATATGTTAGGTCAGAAAAATTCCCGTTAAATAGAGAAAATATATATGCTTTTTAATTATTTTATTCTTTTATCTTTTAATAAAACCGATCAAAATTTTTGAAATCAATTTAAATCAAATCAGATATCTTTTTAATGTTAAAAAGTCGAGAGATCATTTTCCAATACCGTGATCTGTAATTGAAACATGATGACGTTGTAGATATGAAAAGGTAAAAGTCTTCGACAAGAAAGTATGGCCTCCATCCAGCGAAACGGTAAACGGTACGTTGTTAGAAGTTACCCCATTAATGGTTTGGGACTGATTTGGAGATATGCAAATAATTCTGTTGTTGTATACAAATCTTCCTTTTGTTGTGATATTACCAAAGCGACAAATTATTATTTGGCAAATTGCAACTTGAAAATTCCTCCCAAAAACCTGGATGTTGGTTCCCCCTGTCACTTTACCTTCTTGTGGAAAAATTCTGAAAACTTGTGGCACAGTGTTTTGAAAGGTTTCCGAACAAGCACTTCCTTTTGTGCTGATGATAAATTCATTATATAATTTATTCCATTTTTGTATCGCTGTGATTTTCTCTGAACTTGAAAGTGAACTGTACTGTAGCGAATTAAGTGCTAGATGTCGAAGATCTGCCAGAGTAAGTCCCCAACTCATGAAAGCCTCATACCAATCGACGGTAAATTCATTATAGCCAAAAGTACCGGGATCGTCTGAACCTAATATAACAGGTATTCCATACTTAAGATAAGTGATAGCTGGATGGCGCCGCTGATCTGCAACATATCCCAACATTTTGTTGCTGATTGGATTGACCTCTACTGCAATTTTTTTCTTTTTAAGAACTTCCATGAGATATGGATGTTTTACGTATCCTATTCCATGACCAACTCTTTTTGCACCTAGAATGATTGCGTCGTATAGATTGTCCATTGTTGGAACAGGATCATCATCGCGAAGAGATGTCATAAGATCGTCTGGCCAGTTTGTTTCTCCTACGTGAAAAAAGTATGGTAACGTTAAGTTCTGAACTGATATCTTGGAAAAGTCTTCAAGGAAAAACAAAAGAGAATAGCCCCTATCTTCCTCAGACACGAGATCAAACCCAGACACTAAGTTTGGATATTTTTTATACAACCTCAAGGCCTTCTGCACGTCTTGTCCAACATAATTTATTTTCCTGCCACGATATGAGTTAATTATTCTTTTGTAACCAATAAAGTTGGGATGGCTTTCTTTAAATTGTTGAACAACTTCCTCGACCATTTTCAATTCTAGCTCTCCGTCATTATTGTCAATGAAGTGTTTTCCGTTTCTTGGTGCATATTTTGTATCTCGATCCAGCACATAAAGCTTATTGTAGGCTGACGACTTTGCTTCAAGATATTGCACGTTTTCATCGATTGCTGCTTGAAGCATGGCATCTACGTATAATTTGGTAAAATTTGCATTATTGATAATATGTGAACCTATTACGCTGAACAATGGACCAATTTCTTTCCATCGAAGTCCACTGTCTGTAGGATCATTTATTGCTTTATCGTCGATTATTCCCAGAAAAGTTGAATGCTGAACCAGAATGTCTTTTGTGTACGTAGAGTTATCTTTAACTTTAACCCATCCTGCCGGTGGAGTCAAGAAAAAGTCCATATTCCATTGTTTGGGTGGATCAGTTTTAACGTACAGATTGTCGTACAAAGGGTTTGCAAAGATCAAATCAAGCATCTTCGATTTACTGACAACATGATCTGTGAAAATTCAAATTTTTTTGAAAAGTTAGTCTGCACATATTAGGAGTTTTCATATTGGTAGACTGTACTCGGCCGTTATTTTACAAGTTTGACAATACATGTATACTAGTATTTCGAAGGTATATTGAATATTTTACAGAGGGAATCAACCTATGATATGGATTAGTTGTATCAATATTAATGTTTTTAAAGAGTACATGTTATACAACCTCAAAAGTGCACATTTCTGAATATCATAAGTCATATATTAGATATCAGTTGTTATCTTACCTCCTATACATTTCTAAGAATATGATTGGTTAAAAGCAACCGCGTGGAGACCGTGTATATTGCATATGGGGTTAGTAGGCTTAGTTTATTTCAATACACGGTTAGTAGTGGTGTTACGTCGCTTTGCAAAAACAACACGGTGTTGAGGGAAAATCCGAAAGGTTTCAACTGACAAAGAAATTGATGATGAACGATTGAAATAAATTCATAAAACACATTAAAAGCTAACACGTTGTTATTGTTTGCATGTGTTTTTGTATAGACCAAAGGAAGTAGGTTCTTAATATTGAAGACTTGATCACTTTGATATGACACTAGTCTAAATACCACATGTTAAGATGCGTAGTCGGTAAGATAAATTCGTTACACAGTATGCTAGTGACCTAATACGATATATATTGGGTCAGTAAATTCCATATGGGGATTCGATCTATAGATAGATACCGGTGTACCAATCGCGATAAACCAAGTGAAAACAACTGTAAGAATTGCATGAAATCTTGGAGAAATAAGACCGATGCGTCGTCCGGGTAAGTTTCTCCTGCAATGAATGCATCACATCACCCGCCATGCGAATCAAGACTCGGTCAAATGTCACAATAGGGAATTAGGCAAAATTAAACATCTACAAAAAATGGGAATGAGAATAATCGGACGCGCATGACCTACCTATGTTTGTAAAATTGTCATAATGATAAGCAGTTTTAAGTATATTTTGTCCTCTGAATCATGTAAACACCATATGGTAGGAGAGATGGTATGTTACCACTCAAGAACGGAATGTTGATAATAGAAGAATCAAGATGATCGTATTTTTCATAGATCAATTGTCAATTTTTAATCGATTTTGATAAACATTTGTTGATATTAAGCTGGCCTGCTTTTGTATGTAGTATCCTTAATTCAATATTGTTCACATATTTAGATATAAGTACAAACAAAAGAAAAACAGATGGAAGGACCAGTGGCGTAGCTTGACCATTGTTAAGTGTACGCCCGAACCTCCGCAAACCAACGGTTCTACCTGGCAGAGGACCTCTTGGTAGTGGGTTCGAGGGACGTTATCGAGAAAAAGATACAATCATGCTTTAGAGTCTATATTTTAGTTTTATGTTCAATTCATTTATTGTGTTTATGTTGAATATAATGGTCATTGATCTTCGGGAAAATGTCCAAAACCAGTTACTGTAAAATATATCAATGTTGTCGTTAAATTGATTATTTTGACTTCATCTATTTTTTTCCTATTTGTATTCGCAAATTCCGTTAATGAATACATAAGAAATAGATAATTATCATAGATTGTCAGGTGTAATATGAAAATTCAAAAGGTATTCGTGGAACCCTGTATCTGGCTTGGGACTGCTGCTGTCCGTTTTAAAGTGTAATGTTAACTGTAAAAAGAATACTTTTATCATGCAGTCAAATACAGGATTTTAGAAAAAAAAATCAAACATTTTTAATTTAGATGCTTTTTCTTGATCTTGATCATGCCAATAAGATTATTTACGAGTTTCATACTAACAATCTATGAAGGTGTACACATTTTATTATGTAAAAAAATAATCCCAGACCGTTTGTTAATTGCAAAAAGTCAATAAAATACTTTCAAAATAAAAAAAAAAAAGAAACAACAAATACATGTACTTTCCAAATTTTTTCTTCGGACATTATCTCCTTATCATAAAAATGCTTCTGAAAAAAGTTACATTCAATTCGATGAAGGTTTTGACAAAGTAGTTGATGGGTAACAAACTTTAACATTAGACTGTTACTATACTTTTTAACTATAAAGCAACAAAATACGGAAAAAAAGTAGAAATATATTTCCATTATGCTCTGGATACTGACTTTTAGTATACAAAGCTTGTGTCCTATTTCCGTAAAATTCCATGAAGGTTTGAAAAGTTATTGATGTCTGAAAAACATTAACCTACTTTAAGACTGTGTCCAAATATCAACTGTAAAAAAAATCCGTCCATTTATCAGTTGAATAAAAATATATTTTAAAATTTGGCTACTGTCTTTAAATTGATCATAAAAAGCTACTGTCCAAATATCGTAAAATTCCCGGAAGTTTTGACAATGTTTTTAATGTTTTAAAACAAACTTTAACCACAGACTGAACCTAAATGTTGATGATGCGGACGGAATCTAGAATCGCTAAGACTCGTTTCGCAACATGAATGACGCATGCTCGACGAAAATGGAAACCGCATATTCTACCTCGACATATAATAATTTGCTTTTTACAATAGGATACGAAGTAGAATTCACAGTAGATTCAGACTATATCTGACAATGGACAAATACATAACATACCATTTGATTAAAAGTAAATTTTGTCACTTTTATCTCGAATTACAAGCCATTAAAGAAAGAAGTACAAGATGCACGTGCTTTTCACCAGTTTTTTAAATTTATTTAGATTAAATTATTTTTATCTTCTAAAATCATGTGTACGCCCGTGCGTTTTGACGTAAACGTAGCTACGCGCCTGAGGACGTCATCAACACATATGAAATACTTGTGAGTTGAATTAAAGGATTACAACTGATGAAATGGAAATTATATCTATAATTCAATTGAAATCTTGTAAACGTCCCTATCTTAAAGAAATGTACTCGACCAGCAACCAATGAATTAAACATTATTTCATCTTGAGATAGTTACAATCGTAGACATGAAGAACACTTTGGATAGATAAATATGAACACATCAACTGCTGTAATGGGATGAGATGGACTGATCCATATTTCTATAAAAGGGCGGAAAGCAGAGAGTTCGTGGCAACGGAAATATGTAGAATCTTTCTACTATAAAAAAGGGCTGTTGAAACGTGATAGATGTACAATCATGTATTTGAAAAAAAAAAAATTAAATTGTAATGAGACATTTTCCCAATCTCTTGCTTATTAGAGCCTTTTGCTATCATAATATTTTCCCTCACAAGAAAGTACACAATGGAAGTAATTTTAAAAGTTAAATATATTTATACGAAGACTTGACATATTGCAAGATGGGAATAACGAAAAACGTTTTCCTCAATATTTTGACAATTTTCAATTATACCAAATTCACAACTCTATCTTGCACCTAGAACCAACCAAGCAGACATATGTTTTGTACTATACATCTAACAAAACTGCCCCAACAGAGTTATCAGGAGGAAAAACTGAAATCGACACTACATAATTTTTTTGCGAGTTTCCATCACGAATTGATTGATTCGATGTGACTGTGTCTCACTTGTGACACATTTTTGCTCTCTAAAATCCTTATAAATGTTGTGTACAAGTTATCATTTTGTACAAATTATAATTTGTATTTTAACATTGTATAAATTGTAATTCGTCGAAAAAAGGTGCTTGTACAAATTTAACTATATTTCACTTATAACTTGTACAATAATTCATAATAAGGATTTGGTTAAAAAACATTGATACACACTATAGCATTTCTATTTAATGACCAAATATTTACAAAATACAAAAATAATTCTGTATCATTTGTTTGAGCATGTGAGAGAATTATTGGATCGGGAATTGCACAACATCTTTTGTTTTTTTTACATCTAAACAAGGAATTATTTGAATCTGGAATAATTTTGAAGTCTGGAAAATTGATAAGAAATGTATGATGAAAACTAACCCAACTTTAGCGCATAGCTAAGGTTCAAGTTACTTTCACTGATATTTCAGTATGAACTAACTAACCCCCTTAGTCGTACATGCATGACTAACCCTCCTTAATTGGGTTAGTTTTTATCATATATTTTTTTTTAATTTTCCAGAATTAAAAATTATTTCAGATTCAAATAATTTCTTGTTTTTACATAAAAAAGAGCTCACCCCCTTTTGCATTTACATGAAAGAGACCCCCTGACCATCAATCTTTAAAAGCTATTTAACTGCTTCACGTAGCAAAAGTTGAAGCTCATAAACCGTTGCTGCGAATAAACATGTGTCGTTAACAGCTTCAATTTGAATTCTAGACAAATATCATGTCAAAATTCCTATACAGCTGTCCCAATGCGGTACCAAAAATTCTTGGTGAACACATGGTTGTGCTTTCATGTATTATTCTCTGCTAGTTCCAGAATTTCTTGGACAAATTTATCCTGCTGATCAACAATGCTGGCCATGTTTACACTATAACATCAAATGAATAAACGAACAAAAGAGTGTTCACAAACACCAGGGATACATATCTTTGACAACTTATTAATACAAATGACCAGTCCAAAAGTGTTCAAGAAAAGTTTAATGCAGAAATGTTTTCCTCAAGGCAATTAAAATGTATTACTGTTAGAAATATAAAAAAGACCATCTTTTCTATCATGTAAATTATAATATATCCTTTGTACAAGTTATAAGTGAATGTTAGTCAAATTTTGTACAAATTGTAATTTGTACAAGCAATTTTTGGACAAATTATAATTTTTACAAAGTTACATACAAATTATAGTTTGTACATGTTTTTTGTACAAACTATAATTTGTACAAAATGATAACTTGTACAAAATGATAATTTGTACAAAATGATAATTTGTACACAACATATATACCTGAAAAAGCGTCTGATCTGTAAATGTACCCACTGTGTCATATTCCTGATTGTGACACTTTGACTGAGTGCGGATTCGTATGATGGAAGATGCATATATAGCAATATACGCTTTCCCTGTTAGAGTTCATGCAATTCAATTTTTGTTTGTTACTTTGATTCGTATCTATTTAGTGGAGTTATGAAACTTGATCATTTGTAAACTACTGTTGCTTCTGTCAGTTAAAAAAAAAACATTCAGTAAAAAGTCAAAAATACTAATCAAAATGGGGTATCAAAGAATAAAACAAAACTGTTAAAGACAAAAGAAGGCTTTGACATTTTTAACATGTAAAAAGAAAAATGTATGTGTTTCTTAATTATCGTAGTATCAGACTATTAAATCCAGTTTGTTTAATATATGTTAGTTATACCAATTTTTGTTCAGAAAATAACATTAATATAATTTTCTAATTGATATTATTTCCTTAAATCCTTTCATTTAGCTTCATATATATTTCAAATCATCTCCAAACATAGTATGTTTCTAACACATAATGAACTTCTGCGTGTATATATTATGTTCAATATTCAGTTGTGTTTGTTAATTACTACCTTATCACTTCTTTTATAGAAAAATATCACTACAATTTCTAAACAAATGTAACAAAAAGTAGATATATATAACTTACTGTGATGCAAATGCATGTTTCCCCCTTTAGGGAATTTTTTAAGAAGCTTGTAAATCTTTGACTGTTTGATGTCATCAATATGAAGTTTTAAAGGTCTAGCAGGCGGAAAGTCATCACGGGTTCTGCGAAATTCTTCCCACTTTAAGTACTCAAGATAGCTGTATACGATTTGTTCATTCTATGGGAAAATACATATTATCATGAGTGTGCATACTATTATAAGTAATATTTTAAAAATTGAAGACAGGTTTATTGTGAACAAGTTGTGTGAACTTGAGGTGGATTAATCAATTTTAAATCGTCGAAGCGTTGACCAACTCTTTTTGCTAGTCTTTCACTGTAGTTAAATTGATATATTATGGGTTTTTTTCATTGAAGTAACATATGATTGGTCATGATGCTTTTACATGAATAAAACATGTTTCATTTCTGTTCTTTAGGAACAACGTGTAAAGGGAATATCAACATCATTTAGAGGAGATTAACTACAATTAGATGTCTAACAAAAGGTAAAAAATTATCCGATCAAAGTCAACAGCTTTTTGAAAATACAGACGGGCAAAACCAATAGCTGCATTATACAAAACGTTTTCCTTGATTAAAAAAATACCACGGAATATACCGTTTAACCTTTTATGGCAATGATGCTTATCATGTCCAGAACATCATAAACTTATGTCATTATTGTAGTCGATATATTACTATCAGACAAACGTCTTGTATTTGACTTCTGCTGCCCGACAATAAGATTCCTTCTGCATGAGCGTGCGTTTGACTTTGAAGGATGTGTAACTAAACAACCACGTTCGGTTGGAATTTGGACGTACAATTCGATACCCAAATTTGGAGAGTGCCACGCTCTCGGTACCTCGGAACTCTTGTCATCAATCTATCTTTTTTTTTCAATTTTCGTAATGGCTAGGTATGCCAATTATTTAATAAAAATTGAAAAAACACACACATCTATTTGAAATTAAGATGAAATTGATGGTACTGACGTTGTTTATCATCTTATTTACGAGTTATAGTGTACTTTTTTATTTGACTTTGTATATTTTTAACCTTTACTGTTGAGTCTTTTTTTGGCAATATCCTTTTGGCGTGACTCAATATTTATACATCCCGCCATTGTGTTATTGTGCTATGGTAATTTTTGTATTCTTGTCTTTAATTTTTCTTATGTACTTTTTCTATAGAGTGTCTATAGGCCATTTTGTTATTCTTTGTTGAATTTGCTATTTGTTTTATAGTTATGAAGATTATAACACAATGCTGACTGCTGTACCCCAATTTTTGACATTTTTACCTATTATGTCTGTCTGTTTTCCTCATACATTGTTGTCAATAGAATGGAATCATATGCGACTGTCATACAAGTGAGAGGTTTAGCTAGCTATAAAGCCAGGTTTAATCTACCATTCTCTACATAAAGAAATGCTGGTACCAAGTCATGGATATGACAGTTGTTTTCAATTCATATGATGTGTTTGAGCTTTTGATTTTGCCATTTGATAAATGATTTTTCGTTTTCAATTTTCCGTGGCGTTTCAGTAATTTTGTTATTTTACTTTTTTTGGTATATATTACTGAATGTTATATTTTCACTATTTGTTCATTAAACCTTTCTTGAACTTTCCGTTGTTATCATTCTTACAATGTATATGTGTTATTAGAAATTCTACCAACCTCGTCATATACTTGTCGATATCCTGCAAAAGCATGATCTTCGTCCTGCAATGCTTGTCGCTGTACTGAGTAGTTATACTCTAACGAACCAAAGGAATCATTATATGCAAGCGTGGAGCTTATCATATATGCAAGAATGAATGTCCATTTTTTATTCAGCATTATAAAGGGCTTGCGTGTATGTCCGATATTGGGAAATCTTCCTTTGCTGAAAAAGGTGTTCATTTTCTAGCTACAATGGCGATATTTTTATAGATGTGACTACCTCATATATGAGGGTCGTAATGGGGGTACCTTCATGACAAATAACGGTAAAAATTCTTGCCAAATGACGTTAACGCTAATTTTTTGGTGCATGACGATAAAATGTACACTTTCTTTTAGACGATAAAAAATCAAATGATTTTGACGAATCACGTTAATTTTTTTCCAAAAATAACGGTAACGATAATTATTTGAGACCTCTGACGAATCACGATAAGCATATTTTGACGAATCACGGTATAATTTTAACTAATTTGACGCTAATGGTAGCTAAAAATGACCGTTTGACGCCTGACGGTAAAGGTCATTCCTATCCTCATATATTTAAAGACAATAATACGCTTGATTCCAATCGTTATCTTTCCGTCAAAGTGTTTGGTTTTAGGTGACGTTATTTGACGTCATTTGTGCGTTTGTTGGGCATTTCTACGTCAGTACGTTCAAACTCCGAAACAGTGGTGGTGACGTTGCTTCGCTAAACTATCACGATTTTCTTAAATTTGGGTCAAAGGTCAAATCTAAAATTTCAAGAAAAATGTAGAGTCATGTTTAGACAGCTGGCCACCCCTACATATTAACGTTTATAGCAAAATAAATTCAAATAATTCAAAGGATTAAAACTATAGTTTCTATATTTAGGAATGATTTGATAATTTTATTGCCAAATATGGTTCAAGATTGACATTTGTACTTATAGGGTGCACATTTACAATTTTCATTCAGCTGTTACATAACAGTGACCTTGACCTTTTAAAAGTTCCAAAATCGGAATTTTTACATAAGATTCGATACAAGTGATCTTTAGAGATGTTTTTTCGATATTAACATTTATAAGTTGCCCTCCCAAAATGTTATTTTTTCCGTCTTTTGATAGAAGGTGTTCGTCATGATTTTCTGGGTAAATATCCAATTTTCTTTTGGTAAACGTGGAAGCACATCAAATAGTACTTAGTTCAAAAACTGATGAATATTAACGCAGAATTGATTGAATTAGCAGGTCTGAGTATATATTTGCTTTACAGAAATAAAAAAAAACTGCAAACGGTGAAAAAGGGGGAGGGTTTATGTTACAAGTTATGAAAACAAAATGAGAATTAAAAACAGCAGGCTAATCACTCCATCTTACACACTTATATCAAGTGTAATGTACATGACTTATCGAACATAAATTGGCCTACAATTGACCATCTTCGCTAGCCTAGGGTTACGATCCACTTCCCTCCTCTCCACCCTTGGCGGATTGAGATAAAATTTCGGAGACACAAGGTAATGATTTTCATTGGTTGCAGTCGAAACTCACTGCATCCAATCAAAAAGCGCCTATAACATGATCACGTGTAAATGTAGAAAGTGTATGTAAACAATTACCACGTGCTTATTGTGCAACAAGTCTTTACATCCCTAAACATACGACTATATTTAGTGACAATTTGAATGTTTTTAATCAACTAATAGAAGTTCCTGTGTATGTTTCTTGCACAAATGCATTAATGTCAACGTATATTTTCGTTTCCTGCTTTACCAAGTGTGTAGAATCTAGACGCTACCGTGTTTTTACCTCCAAATTGAAGAGTTCAAGTGCTACCATTGGTCAAGAATAATGTATTAGGAATAGGCGTGAATTTAATCTACCGATAGATGGCGCAACATTGTTATAACAAATGTTGGCTTAATCTGCCAAGGGTGGAGAGGAGGGAAGTGGATCGTAACCCTTGGCTAGCGAAGATGACAATTGACATGAAGTTAAAGATTATCTACAAAAAGAAAGTTTGTACAGCATCGATGTATTTTACAAACACTTGTAAACAACATCAATCTTATTAAAATATAGATCTATGATTTCGTTATCCTCATTTGAGCTTATATATAAGAGCACGCGAGTTAATAAAGATCAGAATTTTAATAAGAGCGAAACAACATAGAAAAATTGCCGAAGTTAGTAGTAGCTATTACGTTTCATTGTCTACTGTTAAGTTGAAAGCCCACCGACTAGGTTTGGTAAGAGAGCTAATTTCAGATGTTCTTTTTTAAATCGCATACGACGCAAGTAGCAGAATGCGAGGCATACAGAATACAATCTGATGGTGGTGGCGGCAACACCGTAAACTATTTGTATAGCTTTATATTTCAGAGGGCAGAAGAACTGGATGATTCATACTTTGTATATAGATCCATTGTGTTACGAAGTTTCCGTCATATAATCATTATCCTTGACCTCATATTCATGGTTAAGTGACTGCTAAAAAACGGTATAGCTTTTTTCGTCATGTGAATGTCTCAATTGTCATGAGTTCTAGGATAACTATATTTGGTTACTAATATATGGTACCCTTGCAAGGTATACATGACCGTCAGACATGATTCACCTGACCTCGACCTAATTTCACGGATCAGTGAATAAGGTTAAGTTTCAGTGGTCAAGTCCGTACAGTCTCAGATAGTAGTGGGTTAAATATATTTGGTGTATGGAATGTTAACAAGGTGTACATGGTTTTGTGGCAGAGTTCATCTGACGTTACCTCATTTACATGGAACATTGATAGTGTTAATTTTATGTAATACTTGTTGCATAATATAAAAATTAGGTGATGTGGAAGCAAGCAATTATAGGCAACCGTACGGCCTTCGACAATGTGAGAAACTCATACCGTATGTTCGGCTATAAAAAGGCCAGTTATGAAAAAAATGAAAGAATTCATTTGAAAAAAAAACTAACGGTCTGATTTATAACAAAAGCTAGTTTTTACGGTAATGATGTTTATGATCATACTTTTCTCAGACTATTGATGACGTCCTTTCATTATTCTTCAGTAAGGGAACACCCATTTGATTTCGAAAACAGGGAGGGAATGAGTATTTTGAAAATGAATTACTTGGCCTGGTATGAACTGAAATAATTGACTTTGCACAAGACAGGATGAGAATGAACACTCCTCAACATGAAATGCAGGATAGTTGAGGATATGAATGTGTACAAAAGTGAAAATAAATTTTCTCGCCGCCAGCCCCATCCCTTTCTTCAGAATATAAAATGTTTTACCCTAACGGCGAGTACTATGATATCGGTACTTTGTGTTTTTTGTCTTCATGTTAGTTGTATTTGTGCTTCATGCCGATTTGATAAGTCAAGCCATTTCAAACTGTTTTTCAGCAGATTTTTCTTATGCTGTGTTGTTATACCATTGTCCAGGTCAGGGGAGGGTTGAAGGATAACAAACATGTTTAACACCTCCAAATTCTGTATATGTCTGTCCAAAATCAGGAGCCTGCAATTAAGTGGTTGTCGTTGGTTGCTGTCTGTTGTATCTGGGTTTTTTTGTTGCACGAAAGGTGGTATATTTTGTTGTCGTTCCCACCGAGAGGGATTCAGTGGCGGATCCAGAGGGGGGTGATGTCACGGAACAGAAGTTCCTTCATAATATAAGTTCCAAATGGAAACAATATTCTGGAATATTATTTCCACTGGAATAAATATTACAGTAAATGTTCCTAACGGAATATATGGTATAGAATATTCGTTCCAACAGGAACAGATATTATAACATTGTTTATAACAAAGTTTCCAGTGGAACTTCTGTTAGGCGGAACAAATATACGTTGACAGTTCCGGGGGTTGGAACCCCCCTTTTTTGGACGATAAATGCATTTGAATGGGGACATATAGTTGGAACCCCCCTTCCCCTTTATCCTGGGTTGGGAACCCCCCCCCCCCCCCCCCCACCCTTTTTTAAAATGGCTGGATCCGTCCCTGGGATTTAGGTCGAAAACATCATACAAGACTTTTGATGTGCCATATTCCGGGTGTGAAACAAAACCGACCGATTTGTTTCTTATACTACAATTATAACAAAATATTTATTCAATAAAAAGTTTCAAGTTTTGAAAAAACAGACACAAAACAGATTTCTCCGAACAAAGTCACAATCTACAAAGTAAGCTGGCTATTCACAACAAATAAACTTGTGTTTTTAATTGCTAATTTCTTCAAAACGATTTTTTATTTCACGCATGCAATTTGGCACACACATGCACTGTGTCTTATTGCTTAAATCAGAGTAAAAAATATTATGATGATACACGTAATAATTTTGCTTTCGATGAAAATAGGGTAAATTTCGGGTAAAATTTTACTCTTACTAAAATGCTGAAACACTAATATCAAAATAACTTAAAAACTTTCCGATTTCATTATATGATATATTTAATATATAAACTATATTATAGGTACTGTGATAACTACCAACAAAGAACGCAATGATTTTATTTTTCATGTTAAAGATTCCCCGTACAATACGGTATCTGGTGGTACCCTGTAAAAACACGAAATTTAGAAAATCGTGACCACGGGAACTTACGACGACAATCTTGATTGTAAAATATAATGATTTTCCTATAATGTGCAAAAAAATCAGCTGTGTGTTATCCGTTAACTTAAACTCGTAAACTAGAGGACTTTTTGGACATTGGGCACCCTACTAGGTTGAATTTTGTACATAAGAATAAAGACCGGTGTTTGAAAAATGTCAAGCAGTCACAATTACTTTATCAGTTCAAAGATACAGGGATCCCGTTAGTCCGTGAAACGTTTAAATGACGTGAAAAATCAGCGTAAAATTAAAGAGTATTTCTGGAAATGGAAATGATATGGATCAAACGTATTATACGACCCTTTTGTTACCTTCAATCTATTTAGAATTTACGATTCAAGATAAAAAGCAAATTCTGGTTGCATCTCATGAACTGCAAACGGTGCAAAGCCGAGTCGTAAGCATCTCCTGATGAAAATATGTTGAAATAGCCATATTTTGACCTAAAATGGACTTTTTATGCATATTCTCGTGGAAAATATTCGTTTAGACGAT